GCAGAGCACCGTCTCAGGAAGAGGTTGCTGAGGACACAACCTCTGTTTTCTAGGTCTGTGCTCTGTCATCGGCGTGTTAAAGTCTGCTCAGGGGAGCAGAGCAACAGCGCTGTCGGCCGAGGTGCTTTCTCACGGGGCGATGAACTGGCTTTTACCGTGCTCTTTGTCTTAGGAGATTATTTTTTTCAGGGCTGCTGATGGGGAAGAAGCAACAAATGTCCAAGAAGGAAAAACACTTTGATCTCATCTCTGTTGCGTTAGTACTTATTGCGTGTTGGTTATTGTAGGGATACATTAACGAGATCGCATAAAATAACCAAGGACTATACACAGCTGGCCTAGATGGCATTTTGGGGATGATAGCGTTAGACAGCCGGTTTCCGCTCCTCTGGTAATACAGAAAAAACGCAGATCCCAGTGGCTCAAAGCACAGCTTCCTCCTGGCTAAGCATCCCGTAAGGCCTCTGCGATCCTGGGAATGCGGCGCTTGTTTACAGTTAACGGCAGGTCAGAGATGCTTCTGCTTACACGACGGAGAGGGGCTGCCACAGTGATTCTTTACATGTGTCCTAGACAGCTGGAAGCGTAGATAGGGCCTGATTTCTGACAAATTGCCCCACATTAGCTGAGCTGGAGCCCGTCCTGCAGCTACCCTCACTCCCGTGCCCGGAGATAGGCTGGGTAGACCTTGGCTGGCTGTGCTGTTGGACCAAGCACTCGCCTGCCATAAAGCTCCTGTAACTGGTCTGCAAAATTGCTCCTACTGTTATTGGGATCACAAAATCAATGGGCTGGGATGAGTGCTCTTACAAGTGTCTCCAAAAAATGAGATTTCTTTGGAAAGCAAATTGGAACAGCTTTGGCATCTGGTGGCTTCTCAGTATCTCGCTCCGTTTCTGACCACGAGCAGACGGAGCCCGTGGGACGCTGCGCTGCAGAGCCGGCTGTGGGCTGGAGGCCGGTCAGGCATGAGAGCGGTGGTTCCTTACCCGACCGCGCAGCGCTTTGGTTTACTCAGCATGGCCATACCCTCTTTGTGGGAGTATTGCTAGGTGCCTCATTTCAGCAGAACACAGATATAACCAACCCAGCTTCCACAACTGACCAGCTCAGTGGCCCCAGCGGGTTTTTTTCTAGTGCCGTGGGATTCAGTACCACCTCAAACTCCACTAAACATCAGCCAACCCAGAGCAGCAATTTGCCGCCAGACCTGCAGCGCTTCCCAGTACCCAAGCCAGCTAGTTCAATGCTTGCATTTAAATATACCCTATAAAATAACCACAGACATCAGCCGGCGATGCTAGGCGTTGCTGCGGGTTTGTTACAGTTTGCTTTACCGGGATTAAGCTGATCTTCAGCATCCTGGGCTAATGCCTACTGAATCCAGAGCTGGAACTCCTAAAAACTAACGGAGCTCATACGAACAGTGCTGCCTACGTTCCTGTGGCGCTAACACTGCAAAAAAGCAACGTTTCACAGGTCTCTCCGGTGTGAGCAGGTCCTGAGAGCCTGGGTGAGCAACCGGAATGCTCGGAAAGGAAACAAGAAAAAAGCTTCGGTCCTGGCCATAGGGGAGTAAAGGAGAACAGAGCAAAATAAAAAGGCAGACCTCTTTGTCCTGTTGTTTTTACACCTTGTGAAAATGTTCCTGCTCCGGTGTTTTGGGGGAGATTAGAATTCAGCAGAAATCAGTTGCTTCAGTGGTGTGGTGCTGCTTCTATTGGGTTTTCAGTGTATTGCTGTGACTTTCTGCCAGGCTGCGGGCACTGAAATACACAGAAGAGTCTGTTCAGGGAAGATGTTGGTGGGTTTTTGTTTTGTCTGAGTGGTTTGGAAATTTATTTTTTTTTTTGCATCCTCATATTGCACTGCAACAAGAGGCTCTCTGTTGAAACAGTTTTGTGTGGGACCTTCCTGTAGTTTGCTAGTTACAAATTACTAATATACTCCCTGTTACACATCTTTCTACCTTTTATAAATTCCTTCAGAGACTAGTTCCAAGCCAAAAGGACAAGAAATCTTCATTAAAATACCTTCCGAAGTTTCTCTACCCTTTTTAAAATGCACTGCAAAAATGTCACCAAGGGCTGCAAGCAAGATTTGCTCTCCAACTGTATAGTACTGACCGTGTGTCCCGAAACTTGAAGTTTAATTTAGCACTGCCTTAGATGGAAGAACCTTTGCTTTTCTTCTTTTTTTTTTTTGTTTTGTTTTGTTTTGTTTTGTTTTGTTTTTTCTCTCTCCTGTTTGAGAGCTCTGCTGACCTGCAGAGGTCTGACCATCTTCCAGTTCATTCATGTTCATAGTCTGGAGGTTGGGGCCTGTCTCCATCACTTCTCTATTTAAGGTCTTAAATGTTTTGGTTCCAGCCCTGTGGATGGAATATGAGATGATCTATGAACAAAGTTCTTGTTCTAGCTAGGTCCAGTTTCCCAAAGCATCCTATGATTTCTTTGAATCCCCTGCTTGGCTTGCAACTGAGATGATCTCAGAGGTTCCTGGGTATTGGTGTTGCCTACAGATGCAAGCCCATGGGCCATAATTTGAGATCCACAAATCGGTCACCACCTTTCAGCGTGTGAACCACCACGTTCTGCTTTGAATTGGCAGCTCGCTGTGGGCTACTCGCCCTTGGGTGTTTGCACAGCTTTACTGGCAAACCCAAAGGAACGCCTGCCGCGCTTCAAGCAAAGAGACCCCTCTGCCGGAAAGGTTTGTGACTGTCATGGTGCAAGTTCACAATTTAACTTTTCATTCAGTGTGGGTTTCATTAATTGAAGAATTAGGTCCAATAACATGTTTAGTATGCTGGTTCCGCAAGAAAGAATTAGCTGGGGAAATGTCAACATTCAGATGCTTTTTAAAAACATACTGTGAGCCCAAGTTTCCTCTTATTTGTACTGGTGCAACTAGGAAGGATGGGCTTGTTGTCTGGTGCACTAGAGAGGGGCTCAGTTCCTGAGTTCAGGCTTCCTGGCTCTGCCACCGATTTCCTGTGTGCGCCTGGACGCGGCTCTTCACGTTTCAGCTTGCAAAAGGGCGACAGCGTCCCTCCGCCCATCCCCTGCAGCCCTGAGGACGCGGGTCCGTCTTTCAGACAGCGCCCAGCAAGAAGGGATCGAATGTTAAGCCAGATCTAGAAGTGTTGCTGATGAATAATAGGCAAAGTTGGTTGTTTCTCGGTTTTTACAATTGCAACCCGCCCTGGGTGGGATTCCTGGAGGTCTGACTTCAGCACAGGTGGTTCCGAGCATTTGGCATTGTCCAAAGAGAAAGCGGGCTCCACGTTCAAGGCAAGGGGACGGCTTTAACCAGGCTGTGGCACGAGGTAAATGGGACTGTTGTCCAGCCCCGGCAGCTGCTGATGGCCAAGCCCATGTACGATAAAAAGGCCATTGTTCATGGCCGCCCTGACGAAGAGATGCGTGCTGCTAACAACGGGCCACTCTCATCAGCTGAGCTGACAGATTGGTTTGCTGCTGCTGCAACTTCGAGCCGGCTGTTGCTTTAGAGCAAATGCTCCGGACAAAAATACAAGGCATCACGTTTCCTATTTGGGTACTATCTCTTTGGACATTACTTGCGCTTTCTGATAAGACACTAACGCTGAAACGCAGCCAGTGTCCCGCTGACTGGGAAGCACTCGGTCGTGTTTTAAAGCTGAAAGCAAATGGTATTTCGTCCCGAAAAACCACGACGTCCGCAGCTCGCTCTACCCTTTGCACAAACGCTTCGGGTGAATAAAGCTACCTGCTGCTGTCATTTTAACTGACATTTTGTAATGAGTAAGCAAATGCCCGAAATAAATATGCTAAAAATAAAATGTAGTGACCTACACATGACTGACAGAAATCTATAGACTTCAGCCGAGACAGGTAGGGCTGCCAGTGGTGAAGGAGCTGGGAAATAGGAGAATTTCCTATCTAACAGATTTCCTGCGATCCTAGGAAAGTCACTTGCTCTGTTCTTCCTTGGTTTCCCACCTAAAAAAAAAAAAGACATTAAGAGCATTCTATGAAGATGCTGAAAGATATACTGGAGCCAGAAGTATTCAGATACAGGTGACGTCTGTGTGACGGAGAGAAACGCAGACGCTGTTTCAGGTGCGCTTACCTGAGGACAAGCTCACAAACGCAGCGCCCGGCCGCGAAGGCTTACAGCCAGCACGGAGCCATTGGGCTGGCGCTGCTGTCTGCATGGGGCGAACTGCCCTGCGCTAACGTACCCACGAGTCGTTAGGGGAGACATGCCCTGCGCTAACGTACCCACGAGTCGTTAGCCTGGATCCGACTCTCTGGTCCTGGGTGGACATGGAGACGGCGGCTGGGGTCTGGGACTTCACAAGCACGGCAGCCCACCGCTGCTCTCCAGCAGCGTTCCTGGCACTGGTGTTACCACCGGGCACTTGCCAACCCCTTAGCACTGATGTTACTGAGACGTCTGTCTTCATGGGCCTCTGAGAAAAGACAAAGTTTGAAAGAAAATAAGCAAGGCTGAGTTTTTCCTTCCCCCCCCCCGCCCCAGGTAAGAAATAATTAGCTTTTTTCATATGCATTTGAAGTCCTCAGATAAATTGGGCAGCAGGCAGGAAGGCGTGAGTTTTATTTTTGGATGGATGATGCATTTTCTCTGCAGCTTCTGAGAAAGAACTCATAGAATGCCAGCGGGAAAAACTACCTATTTTTCATACAGGGATGTTCACAAGTAATAATTCTAAGTAACGAACATTAGCAGTGCTCTTCAAGAGCCTCAGGGGGAAAAGGTGGTGAAGAAACATACTGCAGTATTATTATTAGCTACTTCTTTACTGTGCTGAACACAGTGGACACAGGCTGCAAACATTTAACTCTCTGAAACCAACGCTCTAAGAAATGTTTAATGTGAAAATGGGTGGACCTGAATTAAATTGAAGTTAAAGTGGCGATAAACAGCAAACGAGGAACTAATGAACATTTCTGCTGGTGTAACAGCCCAATGCCAATGTTTTTTCCCCTCTCCAGAACACCTTGGCGAAGGCGCTATACGATAACAAAGCGGAGTGCTCAGATGAGCTGGCCTTCCGCAAAGGAGACATCCTGACGGTTCTGGACCAAAACGTCATTGGCAGCGAGGGCTGGTGGAAATGCTCCCTCCACGGCAGGCAGGGCTTGGCCCCCGCTAACCGCCTCCAGCTCCTCGCTGCCTCCCAGGCTGTCCTGCCGCCTCCTTCCACCCTGAGCGACTCCGCAGAGCCGCCAGCGGGCCAACAGAACATCTACCAGGTTCCCTCCGTCCCCAAGCCGACCGTGCTGTCGTCTGCCTATGAGAAGATGGAGGGGTGGGTTAAATCCCCAGCGAAGGTCCCTGCCCTGCCCGCCCAAGCAATATATCAGGTACCTGCCTTGGCTGCACAGCTGCTCAGCGAAAGGACCCAAAGCTCAACGAACCAGGTAAGGATATAAGCAGCTATAAAAGTAACAAATGGTATTGTTAAACCGATCATGGGGAGTGGGGGAAATAAGAAAGGCTATTGGGCTAGGCATTTCAGTGGAATTTGCAGCAAAGCCGTTCTAATAAATGGTGTTTAGGAAACTCCCATCAATTCTACCACAGTTTATAGCATTATGTGGGAAATGCTGCTCTGGGCAACAGATCAGAGTCTCTATCTTCTGTAGTCCCTCACTTTTTTGACAGTTTAAAGCAGCTGTAAAATAAGGCAGGAAGAATATACCATTTGTTTGGAAGAATCTAGAAATTATTTACAAACCTACCCCAAACTTAAAATAACAAGACACAGAACTTTCTGCTCTGATGGCCCACAGCATACAGAGTCCTCTGGGCACACGAGGGGTCTCTGTGTCCCTCTGCACAGGAAGACGATTCACAATTAAAAATAAAAAAAATCACCCTTTGCTGTGTGATTGCTGCCTTTGGTCTAGTTTCTATTTCCAGCGCCACACTCAGAGTGCTGCTGCCACTCTCTGCTGCTGCTCAAGGTTCTGGCTGCACTTGCACGAAGTAGCAGCACCTACTTTCACACGCTGGAGGGTACAGGGTCTGGTTGGGTGGCCTGAATCATTTTCTCTCCCAGCTCATTTTTGCCACTGCAGAGACAGTGCCCAGAGCGTGCGGGATGAGAGCAGCCACCAGTGCCCCCGGTTACGGAGGGGAATTGCAAACCCAGCGTTGCAGAGTTCCACTGCAGCTGCCTGGCCTCGCCTCCTCTTTCTCCCTGCTCCTTGTGTTTGGCATTCACATGAAACATGAACGTGGAATTTGACTAAATGTTGCATCAAGTGTCTTAACGTGAAAAACTTGGGCTTTCTTCAGCATAGAATGAACAAGGAACCTTTTGTAATAAAAGGTAAATAGTGCAGGTGGGGAGTGAGCTCAAGTGCAAGTTTTTGTTCAGTCCCCTGAGCTCTTCAGCCCTGGGTAGCTCTTTATTCTGTGTAAGAAAATCACGTTAGAAACGTTAATTGGAAAAGGAAAGAAATTCAGCCCTGAACTATATAGCTTTTTAGGCTGATTTAATGATCATTTGAGTTATGGGGCTCAGTCAGCCACCTTTCCCACGGTGCCAAAAGACAAGTCATGGAAAGCGAGGTGCTGGTTCCTTCCGAGTGGCCAACGGGTGCTGGAAAACAGACAACCTTGGTACATCTCTGGTGACTGAAACCTAATTTTCAGTGCTGCAGCTGCACATCCCGCCTTTGTGTTCAGTTACCATAACTGCAAGCTCAAACTAATAGCTACAAAAGACCCTTTAGCACTTGCCATGATCTGATTTCTCCACATTCTTAACCTTAAGGAAGGCATTTGCAAATCGAATGCAAAATTGCTACAGATTTTCCACGTTGTGCCAGCAAATCGAGCTGAAAAATGCCATCTATTGTTCAGTGTCTGAATGAATGGCCCAACAGAAGAGCACCTTGGCTATTCCTGTCTCATTTCAGGAGTTTATACACCTAAGCCTTGTTTACTCTAACAGAGAAAGAAAAAAAAAGAAAAGTGTGCTAGCCTGCTTTTATTATTCAGAAGCTCAGATCTGCCCGAGCTGCCTCTTGCACAACGTCACAGCTGTTGCCACACCAGCTGTACGGCGGCGCTCACCAGCCTTGCACAGATGCACGGGGGCTCAACAGCCTGCGCGAGCGCAGGAGGAACCGCAGCGCTCCAGACCGCCCCGCGTAGATCCTATGGGACAACTGGCAAAGTTCCTGGCGTGCTCAGCTGTCCTCTGAGCAGCTGGGTAAAGCCACTGTAAGTCTTTGAGAGAGCTGACTGAAAGCAATAACCCAAACCAAAACCCCTGTGTGCTTTCCCCCTGCAGAAAAGCCCCCTCACCTCTGCCCAATGCGCAGGGCACCTTCTTGCTCTACCGGGACTGAAAGTACTTTAAAACATAGTCAGATGTGATACTCAGTGAGTTTCCTTTTTGCTGTACACTGAGTAAGATTTGTCCATCTGAAACCAGCCCTGGGCTAAGGACACCACTTGACACTACTTCTCTCTCACCCCTTCTACTCAGGAAAGTCTCTTCTTTTCTGCCTCTGTCTGCAAGCAGGATGGGCTGAGGGGATTTCTGTTCACTCATCATGCCCCTTCCTCAGATGAGAGCTAAGAGCAAGCAGTTGAAAAGCCGGAGTCTTGTTCCTCTACTGTATTTCTCCGAAATTTAGTCACTCAACACTCACTTACATGATGGAGAACACTACCTCCAATTTGAAGTAATTTACTGTAACACAGTGGTGTTTCTGTGGGTCAGCAGTTTACAACACCCCATTTATAAACCAGCTGCGGAAAGCCAGGCTAAACCCACGCTAAACAAACAAAACCCTGCGGTTTCAGGTTGATTTTTAAAAAGTCCTTTCCCAACATTCATATTTTGGCCTCTTAACTAATTGTCCCTCAGATTTGGTCATCGCTCTTAAACTGATGTTTTAAGCAAACAGGAGGATTAGTCTGTAGTTGACCTACACAATGCAATTCCCCTATCAGTCGTCTCTGTTGATGGAGCCGGACAGGTCATGGAGGTAACTGTGTTTACTCCTACCAAAAAAGTTGGTCTTTCATACCCGCAGAGACATGCACCTCAGCCTGGACCTCACCCCCACTGAATATGGCTTGACCTACTGGCTCTGTGAGCCTGGAGAAGTAGAAATTCCCCCGCTTTCTTTTTTTAGGTGGTTCTGCTTTTGGGTAGACTAAAGATTTAAGTGATAACTGAAGCTGGATTTTCTCCAAATCTTTTCCCTCCCTTGGTCAGAAAGGCAGCTCATTTTTGATTTGTATGTGCCAATTCTTATCTGAAATAAAGCAAAAATGCTGGCAAAGGAGAATTACGGGAGAAAAAATATCATGCCTGCTTGTAAGGTCAGCTCCTGTCTGTCACCATCAGTGAAAAGCTGAAAGGTTTTTAATCACTTAAGAGTGATTACTCTAATGGTGGCCTACTCAACTCGTTGAGTTTTCAAAGATGTCCTGAGCTTACTGGTCACTGCAGCTTTCTCATTATTGGGTTTTTTTCCCCCTAAAAGCACCTGCTTACTCTCCCGAGAGCATGCCGGGCTTCCGTCCCAAATATCAGGAGTGAAGTGTATGATGTTCCATCCACACAGCGCCGGGAGGCCCTACTCACGCAGGTGAGTCCTGCCATGGTCCCCCCATGCAGCTGGAACCCTGTAGGACCTCAGAATAGATTTTAAGGTAAATGCTTACAGTGTTTCCCTGTTTGCTTGTTGCAAAATTTGGCAGAAAACCATATACTTTTAGGGAAGTTCAAAACTTAGAGCAGCTTTCTTTTGAATTTGTTAGACATTTTGAGAAATATGTCTCAAATTTGGACATTTCTAATAAACACTTTCAGTTTTACCATTACTGAGTCCAGGGCACAGATGAATTCTCGGTATCGGTGTCCCCCTCTCTGCCTCGGTGTATCCATCAGGGAACATGCTTTGTCTCTGTGTCGTTCGATGGGGAAGATTTCAAAGTTTTTACAGAAGAGTCACTAGTGCACATACAAAAAGAAATTAAATGTCACCCACTCCACTCGCCTCCTGGGCGACAAAATCCAAGGGATTAGATCACGTAACCATGATGCATCCAGGGTAAGGGCAACACACCGATGGCACCTACCACTGAAGCGTCCTGTTATGTGATCTCGCTCTTGATAGCATCCTCCCCCGGGCAGAGCGAGTGTTGTCACATTCCCTCTGCCTCGCTGCAGCCGTGCAGGTGACCAGGCTGGGACAGACGCCAGGCCCCACAGTCCATCACCTGCCACGCAAAGGTGTGTGTGGGACGGGAGCACGTCCACGGAGCCTCCCCACGCATCGTGCCCTCCCTGGCAGCGCAGGGTTGAGCCCACTCTAATTCATTTATTACCAAGTTACCCACAAACTGCTTGGCAGTACCCGCTTTGTGTAAGTGGGGGGATCCCTGCCCAGACCCAAAGCCAGGCGTGTAGGTGGCGGCTGCCCTGCACCACCTAGTGCCGGCCGCCCTCCCATGCAGCTCCTGCACCAAACCCTCAGCTCCTGCACCAATCCCCCAGCTCCCGCACCAATCCCCCAGCTCCCGCACCAATACCCCAGCTCCCGCAGCAATCCCTCAGCTCCCGCAGCAATCCCTCAGCTCCCGCACCAATCCCCCCGCTCCCGCCGCC